GACTTCACTGGCTTCCGGCAAAAAAGATGGTAGGGCAAGACCAGTATCTAATAAAGAAACCAGTTCTTCAGCAAGTTGCGGGACCAGTGCAGAATGTGTCTCATTTCCATTTGCAGTTACCAAGTTATCAGTAAGAACTGTAGAATAACGACTCAATTCTCCGATACCACAACTGTATACCTGAAATAAACTTATATTATTAAAAACCGCCATTACACTTCAGAATTGAAATCTTAAAAATATTAAAATATCTTTAATTTTGATGAGTCATTTCCTTAGCAAAACTTACGCCTAAGGAAGTGAAACTTCTTTTAACTTCCTTCAGCAAATCACTTTTTGTCACCAGCCAAGAGCTTTCATAAGAATCATCCGTTATATTAATTGATCCGAAACATTCATCTAATCCACTCTCCCACTGATAACGCACGTCGTTCTTAAGATCACCAATTTTCTAAATGGACCATACGTTTGGAACGAAAAATAAAATTTGGTATTTTGAGCAACAAGATAAATAATCTTTTTGCTTTGGACCAAAAGAAAAGAGCGACACTAACTTTTAAAAGAGGTTTGCCTAAACAATTTTGGTAACTTCCTACAGCTATACTATCCTCTGGTGATTTAACAGAGTACATACCAGCACCCCTCCGTCCTGAAAACCAAGTAGAGCAAATTGCCACATTCATTCACCATCAAATGCTCACCTTGTTACAAATAAATAACAACAACCGCAAAAAACGCACACAGCTAAATGTAAATGATGCAGCGCATAAGAAATTGTTTGATGCAATTAGTTGAATTTTCTAAACAAATGGCTTTGTTCAGAAAATTCAACTAATTGCACCAAACAATTTCTTATGCGCTACATCATTTACATTCCAAATGTTTATTAGTTGCCAAAATCGAATATGCGGGAACTCAGTGAACGAATCCCAGAAACAAACGCTCCTGAGTAACCAAAAAAAAGTGCAAAAAAATTATGATCTGACACAAATGCATGAAGAACTCCCACTAAAAACGCGAAAAATGCCTAACAAAAACCTAAAGAAAATGCAAATTCATTTCCCTCAACTGTACTGCTAAAGTACTATACAAGAAGCAAACAAACTTCACTTTCAAATGAAAAAGAGGCCATAAAAGACACAATTAACCAGAGTTTTTGAGAGCCCTAGTTTTTCCCAATTCCTTCTGTACAGCAACATACAAGTACGTGCTTTATACTCGTACCTCTTGGCTCCTACAACAAACTTCGCAAGTTGATTAATAGCTCTGAACTCAAGTACAACTGTTTATTGCAACCACCTAAGACCTATCAGTTCTCTGTACCGCACCATACCTACAAGTCTTTCCGCGGAAACTACCCAAAAAATTATTCTTCCATCACACGACTATCAATAAATCAGGACTCTATAACTGCCCCTCCTACTACACCTAAGTCTAAACTAGAACACCAAGCAACAAAAAAAATCTTAAGTTTGAGCATGTTGACCTAACAAAAAACAGCACCCGCTTCGAATTTTGAAAACACTCCGCTGTGCAACCAAAAACCTATCTTCGTCGGACCCACATTCTTCCGCTGCACTTAGTCCCCTCTCGAACTTTAAAGCAGCCACTGTAATGCCATGAAACTTCAAAACTCCACCCCCATGCAGTCAAATCGAACTCTTCTCCAACTAGTTCAGAACCCACATTACTACGTTGATCTCTGACCTTCACAATTATAAACAGTACCAGCACCACTTCTTCCTCACTTCAAAGATACAACTCATTTTTATAAACGCCAATGAAATGAAGAAAACTAAGTAGGAAATCACCAAAAGCTTGCCTAAACTAAAAAAACCCTATCAAAAAAACACACGAGTGACTCACAGAATTCCAAAGGATTATTACTACTAGTACAATTATTACGCCCTTTTTTTTCGTTAAGAAACTGCTTTTTTGATCAAGAGGTACTGCTACAGAGGAAATAGGCAAAGCCACAATGGTAGTGAACAAAAACCACCAAGCCGAGTGCCGAAACCGACCGACCAATACAACTATTGTTTATTAGTTCAGATCAACTAAAAATTTCTACGGATGGAGGAAATTCAGTGCACAAAATATGCAAGTAATGCAAGTAAAACAACGAGCTTTAAGAACAGTTTAGCATTAAAAAAAAAAATTATGACGAGAAGATAAAGCAAGGCATATGAGGACAATATACCAAAGGCCAGAATACACTTTTTATTTAACTACTCCTCCGTTAAAATGTTTTTTTCGCTCATTCTGCCACATTACGAAGATTTCAAGTGCTCAGGGCAATTTTAACTGACCGTTCTCAACGAAAGTCTTGCTTGAAAACATACTCTTCCGCATATCCATCATCTAAAACCCTACAATTCTGCGAACAAGTAAAAAGCAACAATGTCGCCCAATCAATACTTTCGCCAACAGAATCAACGCCAATAACAGAAAGGAGGTGAGGCATAAGCTGCATTTCATACTGCCTTGGTGAACCACAAAGAGCGCAGTTAGGAACCGCTTCAGGAGTAGGAGAGTGATCAGTAGCCAAAAGAGGCTGTCCACCTTTGTCGTAGCGAAGAATTTGCTCTGGATTTGAAGCTATTATCTGCAATGGTATTTCACTGTTAATTAGATAAAAAAACAAATATTTTTGAAAATTAAATGTATTTGAAGATATTTTTATGTACTGAATAGAAAGAAAAAAACTGGACCTAGCAAAAAATAACTACTTGCCTTTGAAAACTTCTTGAACGTGCTATCTCTCATAAGTGTTTCTTCGGCTTCTTCAAGTCCAGGATAATTCTCTGTACCCATCTCCTTGAAATAACCAAAGTAAGATTATGATTTGTAGCAGTAAAAGTACTCTTGTCTTCAATTATTAAAAAAAAAACCTGATGTTTCTCAAGATACTTTTCAAATTCCTCCATTTGGTTTTCATCCGGCTCCTCATCATCACTAACATCACTGTCATCTTCAATTGCTCCGTGAGCGCTATAGACAACTTCCATTTCAATGCCGTGTTCCCCAAACAAAAAAGCATTGTCAGGCCCATCGTGATTATTTAGTACAGAAGCGTCTGCAGCTTCGCTGAAAAGAATTAAGCCTCAAATAACTTGAGCCGTTTTTTAATGAATGGTTCTGAGTAATCTAGGCTGATTTAAATCCACTTACTGAGAGTGAGGAGATTCTTTAATACTATCCTCTGTAACATTATTGTTAGTGCCAGTGACATTTGTTGACTGCAAATTATCCTTGTTGCATATTTTCTTGTGAAATGACTTCCAGTCTAAAGCTTGATGATCCTTGCTGCAGTACCTAAAATTAGCAAAACTCACTAAGATTAACGAGCATGCTATACTTCTAAGTTAAAATGCAGATCATAAAACAAGACAATAAAATGATACATTTAGAGAAGAGATTTTTACCAGAATGAAGATTAGAATTCAGTGAAATAATATACCAGGCTGATTCACAGCGACCACACTTCTTAGTAGCAAGACACCCACACACAATACAAAGATGTGGATAAGACGGCTGAGCGTAAGGATTCGGAATGTCACCAACATCAAGATTTAGGGCTTCAAAAGCATAAAACGGATTTCTCCTCGGTAACTGGCAGCGAAAAGCTCGTATATTAGATGCATCGTTTGCCTAGGATTATTGCACAGTAAAAATCAAGCAACAAGCCCTAACCAAGCCTTAGCCTAAGCACTACAAGGAAGCTTATTTCAGCAAGTAAACCAAAGATTTTGTGAAGCATTTCATAAATCCACCCATAAACTCTAAAAAATGAACGTAAAATACAAAATTCACCTGACAACATTTTGGATCTTTGCATATAAAAAAGAACAGAGTACGGTGAAAGCAATAATCTGGATCTAGAGGGCTAGTGGCATAAACTTGTATAAGAAAGACCATAGGTTTAGAACAGACCTACAACTAAAACATCTCGCAACGATACTTAAAAACAAAACTGAATACGCCAGTTAGGAAAAAAACGCAAAAGTACTGTGTAGTTGAATACAGAAACAATGCTCCGATCACAGAAAAATGCAATTTTTAAGCTGATTACTTACTCGACACAGAAGCATGTCAGATGTAGGAAGGGCAACTGGATTTAACCAAGACGGAAATCCTCCTACCTTTCCCAACGGGAAATAATGAGAACGCAAAGAATAGCGCATTTCTGGGCTAACGTAGGACGTGAACCCCAAATAAATAGGTAAATCTAGAGACGACAAAATAAAACAATGAACAAATCACTAACTCCAGGTAATAACTCAAAAGAAACTGCACCTTGCGCACCTTCCCTGTCCTCCATTTTCTAGTCGCGTTTCCGCTCTTTCTCCTGTTCGTCTCCGCTGTATGCGGTGTACACAAACAATATTAGAACAACGTGTACCAGTACCACTGCCACAATTGCTGAGTAAAAGCTTGAGTTTTGACTATTGTAACCAAGAAAGTCTGCAATAACAAGCTCAAAGTCAGTAAATTAAAACAATTCCCGTTTTAAAAACCGAGTTAGCATAAAAAAGCAATGACTCCTTATTTAAAACCTGCAGTCGACGATTTGTAACCTGTGCGAACTGATCAAGCTAAAAATCTGAATAAGTCGTTTTAAAAAATGCTATTCTAAATGAGCGTTAACTCAGTAAGCAATGCAGATAATCTCAATCTCAATCAATTTAGTACAAAATGCAGAACATATAATTCTTTTAATGCGAGACAAACACATCGCATCTAAAGCCCTCCAGTTTTGTATCTGTTAATGATCGTGTGTAAATAATATCTACATCGTCCACAATACAACAAGGAAGCAAAATATTCGGTCTTCAGAGCTTTTAAAGGTTTCTAAAAATCATTAAGCTTCGTTGAGTATAGATATAAAAATCAATCAGATGCTAACACCACCGCTAACAAATGACAAATTTTCAACAAAAAACCTGTTGCAAATTTTCTTCTCCCATTCTTCTGCTTCCTAATTATTAGACAAACAATAAGTAAAAAAACCTGAGAGTGAAATGATCTGCCAAAAAACATAAAAAGTCAAAAATAATAGAGTTTTAGAACACACTTTCAAAGAAGTACTTCTTCAGCAAAAACATAGATCCCAAAGGAACTGCCAGAATAGTAAGAGAGTAGACTACCAAATGCCAAACTGCTGTTTGCACCGTTTTATCTCGAAAGTTTGGAATAAACTGGTCCATACGTAATTACGCCCTAAAAATCGAATAAAATAACAAGTTCAAAATAATTTGCTACATTAGTATTACATCATAATTTATCAGGCATTCAAGAAGTAAGTCCCACATGTATGTAATAAAGCTACATGAGATATATGCGATAAAAATTAAGATAAAAACATTTCATTAACTGAACAAACATAATATCCAACCTTATTTATGCGCATTAAGTAGACAAACACTTAAATATATGTTACAGAATATCAAAAATATTAAAGAATTAGCAACGAACAAAAAAATATCTGTAAAAACAATACACAGCGACTTAATAACAATTAAACATGAACAAACCATTGAAAAGAAACTGGGATTCAACTTTAAAACAGATATGTCACAACCAAGGGCTTTTTTCTTGCTATAATAAACGTAAACAACAATTTTTCCGTTCAAAATAGAAGAAATTAAGAATGAATGATGAAAAACCAATTTACTTAACCCCACTTAAGTACCAATTTACGCTCTAACCAAATCACAGGCACAGCTTTTCCAGCCGGAAATGCACGAACTGTGAATTACCAAAATATGCCTGTTTTTAGGGTACCTTATTGACTAGAGTAATGGTTAATCTATCCACAAACACCCTGTCAGCTCAGTAAACTAAAACATCAAAACTAACGCTATTAAGTGAAAGCTTCTAATGGAAAA